AAATCTTGAAGTATGTAAAAGCAAAAAGGCTTAACAAATATCCCCTTTCTTTCATGCTAATTCCTTCGTTGTTTCAAAGGAAAGTCCACACCTCATATATCTTGTTGTTTTCTGGACAGGGTTTCACTACTATGTAGCTAAAGCTGTCCTGGAATTCACTGTAGACCAGTCTGGCTTCGAACTCACAGAGGCCTGCTTCTGCCTCCGGAATTCTGGAATTAAAGGCATGTGCCGCTCAGCCTGGCTTTTATACCTCAAACCCTTTTATCTCTGACCCTTGAGTATGGATCTCTAAAAGAGAAATTCTAAGAGAAAAGTTTTTTTTTTTGTTTTTGTTTTTGTTTTAGGAAAGAAATGTAGGGCTAAAAGAGAAAAATGTCTGGAACCTTCAAAGGTTCAGAAGGGAGAGACAGAAGCAGGGAAAGACCTGTCACCATCCTTGTAGTTCTTCTGAGAACTGAAATATTTCAAAGGTTTTACACTGTAGATTACTGAAAATACATCTAGCTGAGGGGCCATACCATAGTGCCAAAGGCCATCACATCTCATAGGCAATATATGAATTTGTCCAGACAGGTCATTAAACAGACCAGCTCAATTCCAAGAGTCACATAGTTCATCTCATAGGACCCTGAATTTTATTTACTCCACCTTTCTCTTTGATCCTTGCTATTGTTATTTAAAAAAAAAAAAAAAAAGTTAGGAAATGCTCAGAACAGTTTCCCCCAGCCAGTGGATGGCACAGTGTCTTGCATTCCTGTCACAAAAATGTTCTGTAAATTGGTAGTTTAAGGCTAGAGACTTGGTCAGAGTCTGACTCCAAGTTTTCTCTCTTTCTCTTTTTTCTTTTTCTCTTTTTTTCTTTCTTTCTCTCTCTCTCTCTCTCTCTCTCTCAGGGTTGGGGGGTGGGGCAAGATCAACATCTCATAGGCCTGATTTGGGGGTTTCATTGCATTCCCACCAACAATTAGCCTGGGTCCGGGTAAACACTCAGCTCTTAATTCCCACTCTGGGTAGAACAGAAATCCCCCTGCAGGCCAGAGTCATACCACTTAGGATGTACATTTTCACACATTTCTCTGCTCAGTATCCAAAGGTATCTGGAAATTGACACCTCAGTTCCAAATGCCTCAGCAGAGGCTGTGTCCATGTCAAGGCAGTATCCCCTCCCCTGAAGCCCTTCAGGAATGCGGTGTAGATGACAGACGCCGATAGGGATGGGGATGGCGTAAAATGCTTGAAGGGAAAGAGATAAGCTGCCCTCAGAAGAAAGACCGAGATAGAATTGAGACCTGTACTCTGCAGAGCTCTGGCAGAGCTGACTTGTGGAGGATGCTTTGCCTGCGTTTAAAGAGGCAGCATTAGAGTCTTTTTAGTTGCTATCTTGAAGCCCTATAAAGAAAAGGGACAGTCAGTGTTACACTGTCCCACAGTCTTAGTCAGAAAGCACATTCAGTATAACAGAGATTGTGTGGGAATTAAACGAAATGAGACAGAAAACAGAGAGAGCTTCCTGGGCAAGGCAGGGAAGCTGGGCAGATGAGCAGACGGAAGTTTAAGAACTTAAGTCTTAGGTTCTCTTTTTCCTTTTAAATGCATTGAAATGGAAATTATTACAAAGAAAACAGCACATGTAGTTATTTTAGAAAACAAAATTGCAAAAAATAAAAAAACTTTACAGAAAAGGGCATGCTTGTGATAAGGTGGGCTGTTTCTGGAATTTTCCAGATAGTTCTCCATACTCAGAAGGATGATTGAGAGAGTCTAGTTATGAGGAAGAATGGAAAAATTTGAGAGACTAACTGATTACATAAGTTTTAGGCTATTACTGTGATAGTAATAGCCTAACATAACAATTTGAGGAAATCTGTTTACTTCTGGAGAAACATTTGGCCCCAATAAGAAAAAAAGAAGAAAAGAAAGAAAAAAGCAGCTGTTTGTGAATGCCCTGGTAGCTGTGAGGAGCCATTCACATGCTAAAACTCTTAAGAAAGCCGAATTTCACTAGTAACAAGCTGTTGACAGGATCTGCTCTAGATACCTTCCGGACCATCCTCAAGTCAAACCTGGGGCTAAGTTCCACGTGACCCTAGCAGAGCAGCCATGGAAAATCACTACGAACAACAGAAGTCCCAACCCTGAGTAGTTAACCTTCGGTAACAACACTCCCACCTGCCTGGAATTAGCGAGCACTTAGAATGCCGGGCGCTACTGTAACTGTTTCACACGTATTATTTAATTCCATCTAAAAAATATCTAGGAGGTAGACAACACTAAAACGTATTGCGTGTTAGATACCAAAGCTGAAGGCCACAGAAGCGGCCTTATATAGCAACAAATCTGGGCTGTCAACGCAGGCAGGCTGAAATCCAAAGGGCCAAACTGCTTTGCTCTCGACATCTCCCACCTGCCCATCACCCGGGAATCAACAACAGCAGGACGGCTTAGACTTCCCAGTCTGCGTACAGCGCTTCCCCCTGATGCTCTAAAATCACTTTCAGAGTTTCCAAAAGCCTCACTGGAAACATACAAACATGCAATTAGGCCACGAGTTTCTTTGGTTTTGTTTCTAAGGGTCGCAATCTACCATTACCAACAAGTTAGCTCAGGTTTTTGTGGAAGTTCTCACTGGCAGTTATGTAGACAAAAACATTACTGGCTTTTATTTATTTATTTTTTTTAAGGGGAAGATGAGTCATCACTTAAGTGCAGTTTAGTGGAGCTGATCTGTGAACACTGGCCCATGGAGAGAGAGAATACAAGGGCGCTTGGCATCCAGAAGGCTGGGAACTGTTACATGTGTATGCACGTCGCTCGACCTTCACAACTCTTTTGTTTTTAAATGACGCCATTCTTTCCCGCACCGGTGAAGGTGCCTTACTTCGCATATACTGTTAAAATCTACTCAGCGCACCAAAATGACCACGTACCTAACGCTTGATCAGGAATAGGGGTGCGAAAAGCACCGTCTTTCAAAACCTTAGGGCGTCACCTGGGAATCAGTCTTTTTCCGAAGGGGGGAAAAAAACTGTAAATGAAGAAGACTCGATGCCGAATGATTCAAAACAACAAGCACCTGCCCCTAGGTAGGCGCGAGGCAGCTCAGCCCCACACCAACCCCGAGGCCGTGGAGGGAGGATGGCAGCGGGCAGTCCGCGGCCTTTATCTGAGCAGGAGGGTGAGGTCTTTTGCACGAGACGCTGGGGAACAATCTAGGCGTCCCCCGACGGCCGCGGGCGAGCACAGGTGACCCTCCGTTCCTGCGGATTTGGTGCCGTTAAACAGCGCGCGGGGCTCGGGGGGCGGGGGGTCGCGAGGCCTGCGCCCGGCGTCCGGGGCCTGCTCCGCGGCCGCGCGGCCGTGTGCGAGCCTGGCCGGCTCTGCGGCGGTGGCGCCGGGGGCGGGGGGAGGGCACCCCCTCCGCGGCCTGCGCGTCGGCGCCCGAGGTCGAGCCGCCCTCCCTCGGGCCTGCACCGGGGGTGGAACGGGGCGTCCGGGCCCAGCCGCCGGCGTCCATTTTCTGGGCGGCGCTGCGTCCGGACTCGCGGGTCCGGAAGCGCCATGGACCCCCCGCGGGAAGCGCGCGGGCGGCGGAGCGGAGCCCCGTGAGTTGTCCCCGGGGGGGATCCCCCGCGGTCCCCGGGAGGGAGGGGGGCGGGAAGCCGGCGGGGCCGCGCTGCAGCCGCGGGGCCGGGCCGAGCGACCAGCGTCCGCAGGTGCCCGCGTCCCGCCCCACCGGGCTCGGCTGCGGGAGGAGAGGGGGGGACGGCGGGGGGGAGGGCGTGAGTGACGCGCACCTGGGGCTCGGGGACCGCTCGGGGCTGTCGCACCGCCCCTCCCCCGGAGCGCGAACCCGAGCCGCGCGTCCTGACCCTACCCGCTCGCGATGAGATCCTGGTGCGACACCAAGCCCCTGCAATTGAACCGGACGTGCAAAGGCAGGGCCCTTCCCCCAGGGGTTTGCAGCCTCGGCCTCCTACTCCTGCTGCAGCCGTCGGTCTGTTGGGACAGCTCAACAGTCCGCCCTTTTTAGACACTTCTTTGCAGGTTAGCGGATAGATAGCCTGAGATCTTAATCTGTCCGCGCTTCCACTCCGTAACTCCTGCTTTGCGGTGGGTAAGTGCCTGATGCCATTCTGGACTTTGGGCCTGATTGAAACAAACCCCTTCCGAGGATCTGCTCTGAATGATACGCGTTGATGTGTTTGAAATACATTATTTGAAAGGTTGAAGGCGAGTCTCCTCATTGGGGAAGCTGCTCGCTCGCTTGGGTTCTCGCGGCTGGGAAGAATGGGTGTTTTGTTGTGGTTTCAGAGAAACTTATAGCGACTCACTGTAGCGAAGATGAAAGAGCGGAGTTTGGGTTTTGTGACAGGGTCTCGCTAAGGATCCTAGAACGTTCGGTACGAATGCAGCCTAGGCTGGTTTCGAACTCGGGGCGGTAGACTGACCGCTAGGATATAGGCCTCTACCAGTGTTTTTCAAGACCAAACATACATTAGATACATTAGTAGAACCCCTTTTGGGTCGTTGCTGAAATTAAAAAGAAAAAAATTAGAGTATTTGGTACGGTAGAAAAGACTGGAAAAAGAACGCATTGCACATAGCAAAGATGAGCACTGTTTAATGAAACCTTTTGGTTTATATAACGTGATTTGGAAAAAAAAAAAAGTGGGTCACTGTCAAAAAAGCCTTTAAGACCCCAGTTTAGTGCCTTGTGGTGCAGATTTCGTGGGCGATTTAACCTGGGTTTGTGCTCAACGGTAATGAGGGTTTTCGTCCCAGCGGTCACTTAGCTGTGCCACCTCTAGCAACAGGTTCACCGCAGTGTCGCAGCTGTAAAATGGGGAAATGTTCTCCAGGGCTGAGGCGTTACAGAGATTACCCGCCCACTGCCAGCACCTTATGCGCTCCACACAGGCTGACTGCAGTGACTCTGTGGCGGAAATACTGCATCCTAGAAATTAGTCATGAAGCCCTGCCCCCTTGTCCTTTCTCAGGTCTTGACATGGAAGAGATGGAGGACTCAGCACCGAGGCTCTCCAAGTGATTCCTGCCAGAGCACAGAAACCGACTCTGTTAAGGCTGACACGTTCTGACTGAGGTAACTAAAACGTCTACGTGAAATAAGAAATGGCAGTTTCCGAAAGACTTCTGATGGTGTCTGAATCATGGTCTACCCACCTGCTGGGTTTGCACCCAGCAAAATTCCCATGATTCTCAATTAAGGACATGTGGCGTGCCAGACCTCTGTGGTGAGGAAGAGCTAGAAAGCAGGGCTTCGAGACCGCTGTTTCTCATGTTTGTTCGGCCTGTAGGTGTGATGGGAACTTTTGTACGTGTCGTGATAGAGCTGTGGCTTCCTCAAGTCACAAGGACCCAAAAAACACAACGGCAGCCCGGAGAGTTTAACTGAGTTTTTTGTTGTTACCCGCAGTAGGTTGAGGTCCAGGCAGGACGGTATTTCCCAGGCTTTCGTCCAGCCTCTCCACTTGCTATAGGATGATCCCTTGGCTAGCTGTAGAGTACACAAGCAAGAAGAGGTATTTGTGGTTCTCACATAGATGTATTGAAAGTCCAGCACACGACACTCTACCTTGGAGGCAGTTTCGAATCCTAGGTAGTGACAGAAAACAGCAACAGCAAAACTGCCATTTGTCAAACCGTTGTGTGTCTTTATGTACCAGGCAGTGTGTTGTTAATTTACTCCCTGATGGTGCTCCCAAGAGTCAAGGAGGAAGAGGTTTACAGGGTTGAGAGGTGCAGATGGTGGCAGGCCGTGGAAGGCTTCGCAGCTAGCTCATCCTTTACCTAGTGCATCCTGTATACTCAGTGCTTTGCTGGGGCCACAAAATTCACAGCTAAATGCCTGTGCTCCGGAAGCCTGATGTCTAAATTCTCCCTGAAATCCAAAGAGGCATAATTGGTGGACAAGGCCCTGCGGTCTTGGCTCTCTCAAACGGCTGCTCCAGCAGCCGCACGATGCCGTCATCCGTCACAGGGACAGACCTCAGCAACAGACATTTCAGAGTTCTTGCTTTTCAACTCGGATTTTCATTCTTGTCCTATTTTATCGTCTACAATCATAAGGCCTCTGGATTCATTCAGTGTTTTGTTTTGTTTTGTTTTGTTTTGTTTTTTTATTGAACTTCTCTGAGATTCTTGGGCATTTAAAGTGATTATTGTACTTTTATAATCATTGGTCTTGTCCAGTGTTTTAGCAAGGAACTCTTTGTCCAGCTGTCAGTGATTTTCTATCAGTAATCAACTTTAAGAATGTTGGCGATTGACTTATGTCATTTTCATTTTCGAAATCTTGAAATCTAACTTTAAGGCTTTCATTTTTCCATTCCTGTCACTTGCAATGGAGGCTTGCTTGCTTATTTATTTATTTATTTATTTACTTACTTACTTACTTACTTACTTACTTACTTACTTATATACATAACAGATAGGTGGAGGAGGGGAAGCAGTTTGACAAAGAGAAGTTTTTGATTCAAAAACTTCTTAGCTTTGTAGACCAGAGGACTTTGGGCATTCTAAAATAAAGCAATTGAAGAAACGCAAACACTTTTGATTTATGGGAGAGAAAGCCAAAAGGCAGCCCCAGGAACTGTATTAAGCACTAGAAATCAGATTGCAGGACCTGTCTGCCACTTGTTACAACATATGTCTCATATAAAAACAAATGAGATCACCAATGTGCACATGGTTTTGTGAACTATATGAAGTTGAACTATATGAAGTTCTATAAATGTCATACAGCAAATATTTATTAAGTAGCTGCCATACATATAACTTGCTAGAGGAGTGATTCAACAGTAAAACAACTGACATTTCCCTCTCAGACTGTCAGTGGAGCTTGAAAAGACCAACAAGAAATATACATATACATGTATATATAATATATATATACACACACACACACTCTCTTGTGTGTGTATCTGTGTGTCTGTCTGTATCCAGGCAGCCAAAAGAAATCGTTCTGGTAATTCAAGGAGGCATTTGAAATAGCAGGAGAGGACAACTGAGAAAGCGTGGAGCATATTCAGTGAAAAGTATCAAGCCCAGTTGAGTCAGAACTGGTCTGTACAGGAGGCCAGGGGAAAATAGAACTGGAGAATATTTGTTGCTGAACAATAATGGTCTTGATTGCCAAATAGGAAATTGGAAAGTGTTAATCAATGGTGTCATTAAGGCTCTTTGAACAAGGAAATGTCATGGCCATGCCTTCAGAGCCTGCTCTTGTGCACGGCTCAGAGGAGGCTGGGAGGAGAGGAACAAGGAAGAAGGCTGCCACAGTCCACCAAGAAAAGGGGTGGGCCAGAGTAGATGGAGTCTACTCAGCGGAGCAAGTGGGCAAATGAGAAGGAATGAAAGTCATCTGTCTCACTGGAGAAGGATAAGATGATGGTGGTGCCGCATTTCCAGAGCCGCAATGCCTGTGGTACCGTGAGGACCCTGAGGGGGAGGTGACAAGCTGTATCCTAGGGGCATTGAGTGTAAAGTGCAGCACAGAAGCTGCCATCTTTCACACAGTGGGGTGGGCTCTGTACCCCATAGGAAGGGGAAGGCCAGTTCAGGAGCTGTTGATGTACAGGAAAAGATGGAGAGGTTTCCCATGAGAGTATAGAAGGAGAGTGATTGAGTACTGAGCCTTTCAAGAAACAAAATGACCTGGGGAGACAGAAGGTGGTCAAGAGAGCAAAACCTCCAAGGAGTGTGTTTCCAGAAGCCTCTGGAACAAGGCTTTCATTGGACCCAGGAGTGGGAAGGATGGGTCCAAGAACATGAGACCGACAAGGGCGTTATGAGTTCATGGGCATTCTCTTTTGCAAGGTAGTGTGATATGCACAGTGAATGTTAAGTGGTTTCATTTGCATAAGTTTATAGCGTGCACAAATCAAGACTAAATCTTGCATAAATTGCTGACCCTAGCATGCTCCCAAACACACTTCTCATTACTAAAATTCAGGCTGCTAAATGTGGTTTTGATAGTGGTGTTAACACTGTTTTTCATTATCAGCAGACAAATCAGAGAACCACTCTCAAAAGAATGAATTTTAAAAAGATTAAGAATATCTGTTGTTGCAAAAGGTTTCTAAGACTTAATTCCATTGCCTTTTACCGTATATCTATTAAATACTGTGTCTTTTTTTCCTTAGCATATGAGCTTAACACAGTGGAATGAGGATACTGAAGTCAGATAAACCCAGTCTCACAGACTAGCTGGGCCATTTTCCAGGCGTGTGACGTTAGCAAAGTCCTGTAAGCCTGAGTTTTTCCATCCTAAGCTTACGTTGGTCTATTTTGAAGCTTTGGGTGATAAGTTGATCAGTAACTGATAAATGGTGACTCCCTTCCTTTCACACTTGTGCACATATGTAAATTTATGCTAAGGTGAATCTGCATAGGAAGTCTTATCTTCCTGCTTCATTTTAATGTGTTTATTTCTCCCATTATACTGTTCTATCCTGTTTGTGTTGAAGTGACCAGGAGTTTAGCATGGATTAAGGCTTCACCAGGGCCTTCTGGAGAGATGGCTCTAGTGATTAAAAGCACTTGCTGTTCTTGCAGAGGAAGAATTTGAGTTTGGTTCCCCGAACCTATAAGGCAGTTCGCAATGGGCTGTGCCTCCGTTTCTAAGGGACCCGATGCCTCTCTGGCCTCCACATGCACTGGGCTTGCATGCATGGCGCAAACACCCATGTAGACAAAACACTCATATGCATAAAATAAAAACAAATCTTTAAAGGAAAAATATTAAAAATAAATAAATGAATAAATGAAAATATTTCACACGGGAATCTGCCCCAAGTGTAGACTTCTGGGCCCTGAGAAGGCTGGCTGATTCAGAAGGGTTGGGGTGGAAGCAGGGAGTCTGTGTTTTAAGTGAGCATTTCCACGACTGCTGGTGGATATTACCAAATAGCAATTTCTAAGATGCAGAAGAAAGAATGAACCTGCAGTCAGTGTGCAGATTCGGATCCTGTGTCAGGTAGAGATGAGTCTGTTCTCAAAAGCTGTTTACTTGTCTCATTCATGTTGATGGAGCCCATTTGTAATCACAGAAAAATAGGTTCCGTGTGATCTGGGATGACGTCACCCACCCTCCATTGCTCTCTGTGTTTGTGTGACACCAGAAGCCGTTTGTCAGCTCTGGCAGGATTGTGATTGGTTCCTGAATGCAGATGAGCATTTCCTCTTTTACAAACACACTGCACATTCTTCTTAAATATACTTCTTCTGGTCTTGTGGTCCCTGACATGACTCAAATAGCCATATTCTCTACTGTCTCAGCGCTGAATCACACATCTGTTCGATGGAAGTGTCACCGTCACACCCTCTGCGTGCTTGTTGAATCACACCTTCCATGTGTGTCCTCCTCCTTTTTGGCTTAATTGACTTTCACCTTTGCTTTAATGGGAAACGATGGACGGATGGCTCTGCTAACGTGGGAGACTGAAGAGAGTGGATTTGTTCCCAGGCTGGGCGTTAGAGCCCTGGCTGTCCTCAGGGCCTGTGCTAACTGGGGTGAAGAAAACAACCCTGACCTTCAATTTTTTTCCTATCAAGGTCGATTGAGCGTGGAGTGTCTTTAGGCCCCATTCGCCTTGAGTTGACTTTCTGCCCAGATGTACTGTCAATCACCTGAAAGACACATCCTTTTTTAAATAGAAATATACTTCTGAGTGAATTCTTACCGAGCTTTGGTGTCTATTTAATTTCTCGGCATTTTTCTTTGTCTTTTTGTTTTTACATTTTTCCAGTAAACTAATTAACAGAGGTTTTTAGTTCGTTGGTTGGTTGTTTTTGTTTTTTGTTTTGAAAAGATTTGAATGTATTAAGACTTTTTTTTTCCTATTTGTGAGTTTCTAGCAAAATGCTTAGCACTTCTCTTCAAGAAATTCTTGTCAATGTGTTTTTCCTCTTTGGTAAAGTTTAAATAGGAGGCTTCTTTTTAATCCTAGCACCCGCCTTGCCTTAAAAATAACGCGTTCTTCCCCACGAGGCCCTCTTGCCTGGGAGATAGGAAAAGCTCCGGTGGCTAGTTACTACGGTATTCAGCAAACAAATAGTGTGGAAGCAAGATTTACATTACTG